ATGTTTAAAACACAGAGATATGGGATCCCTTCAATTGTATACTCATTTTCTTAGAGATGGATTCATTTAAACTGAGAATTTCTGTCACAATGCAGAATACAGCTCTGGATTCACACTCCTGATAAGAATCAGCTTCTTCATTTACGCTTCACCAGATGAAGTAGACCAGCTGACTGGTGACATCCAGTCACATTCATGCACCCACCAATATCTGCATATACAGTCATGCCAACAATGGCTGCAGCGGCTCCCTTCACCAACCCAGCCTCTCCCTTATAGTCCCTTTGCACCGTACAATTTCTGTTCCGCACCAGAGCTGACTCTGAGAGGAACATGATGAAACCATTGGTCATCAGTAAAAAATTATAAAAACTGTGGTTTCTGCAGCAGATCAAACACTGTGGGACACATCCACTAGCGGCCAATATAGAGCTTTTGCAACAAAAGGACCAAAGGAAGAATCAAATTACTGACAGTGTCAGAAATAACGGAAAACATTTCACAATGTGGCGGCTGTTACAGCCTCTGTTTACAAGCAGAGGTATGAAAATACAACAGGAAATAAAACCACTGCTTCTTTAGAGCAGAAGTGAAAATGTTATGGACAGATATGTTTTATTCAGTATTTTTAAAACTTAAAAACAATGATGGACTAAACAGTGTTTCTGTTCTATGTACATTACAAGAGGAACCTCCATCTTCAGAACCTCCATTAACATTTAGCTATCGTGCTAACATGCCATGCTGGCTATCAATGCAATACAAAAGAGACGTGCATGAGAAATAACAACCAGATGAACACACACCAGGTTCACCAGCTGCTTCTGCATCCTCTTTCACATTGTGATTTGTTTGGCTAGTGCCTGCGTAGTTTCCTCTCTGATACATCTAATAAAGTTAAGTGGGTCTATTGTTACATGCACATGTTACTTGCAATTAATAGTTAAGATGATTAATGTGATAGTGTTTTTGCTATTGTTAATTTTGTTGTTGATGTAGGGTTATTAGCAGAATAATTATTGCTTCTTGCATGTATGCCAGATTATTGAGCCAAGCATTTTCTACCTAATGTAACAATGTGGCCATTTACCATAAATCATCTGGAGTATCTGACGGAAATACAAATTATTTAAAATATTTTTCAGCAGAATTTGGTGTTTGTACCCCAGCAATTATTTTGAAATATCAGTCAGGAGCACAGTATGTCTTTGTCCGGCCAACAGTGTATATGTGCCTGACTTTAATTCAAACTGAGGACGTTTTCTGGTCCTTTTTTTAAATCATCTGCCAGTGTCATTTGTCCTCTGCAAAACCTCTGCCAACTCCTCCATCTGTCTCACCCTTACAGTCTGGTAACTGGGCACCCGGGGGTCATCAGTCAACTTTACAAATGGCCAAGGACAATTGCTAGACAAATTGGTGGCCATGTCTGTGTGGGCAACTGTTGCTGTTGCTCAGAAACTGCATCTGTAACAGTGCAGTGAATAACACAGAAGACTTAACTTCTCTCGTGTTTCGTCCTCCCTTATCAGCCTCCAATTTCAAAACAATGTGTTTTCACAGTTTCTCCATTCATCGCTGTCTGATGAAGAATCATAATGATTACTTACACACACACAAATCCATTGCACTTGTTCATTTGGCAAATTCTTATCAGCAGCAGGCAACCTTGTTCATTTACATAAATCAATAACGTTTTCAAGGTAAAAATGTGGTTCAGAAGAGGAGGTTCACTTGGAATGAATGGATACTTAATAAGGCATTTCAAGTTATATTGCTCATGCAAATTAACTTATTCATGCACACGCACACACACAAGGATGAGAATAGAGTCATATCTAAGATTAGAGAGAAGAAAAAAGGAATAAAAGGAGCAGAGAGACACGTACTGAGGAAAGTGAAGGAGAGGTGGCAAGAGTGTGCTGCAGTGCTCCTGCATTACAATTGATTGGCTGGTTTAACTGCCAATGCTGCTCACTCAAGCTTTTAATAGATGGATAAAACTCTCTTTCACCCAACAATCCTCCTCCTCTTCGCTCTGTCATTTTCTCCTTTCTTTTGTCTCCTTTTCTTTCCACTTCCCCCTCCCTGTTTTTCCTGTGTCTTTGCCTTTGCTCTCTGTTTACAGTGCCCCTCCTTTCCTCTCTTCTCCTCTCATCTTTTCTTGTCTCCTCTCTCCTCCACCCTTCTTTTCTTTCTCCTCTCGTCTCTGCCCCTCTTGTCTCCTCTGTTATCCTCCCATCTCCTGTCTTTACATAGCATAAAAATTCAAATCACATGAGCTGAGAAAAACGATTCCACATTCAGAGCAGCGTTGTCTCTGCAAATTAACTGTTTTATTGTTGATGAGAACGTTTTATCAGCATAACGGTCTACATGTGATGCTTTGCATATTGGTGTGTGTGGGTGGATAAAGTGGCATTCGTGTGTGTCTTACTTCCAATTTGTCTGTGAGTGGAGGTCACACTTTAATCCTAAATTGTACTCCAATCCTCTGTTAACCAGAGAAAATCACCCATTTTTTCTTTTCCCCTCTCCTCGCTTCATCTCTCTTTTCGTACACTGTGATAAAGTCATTATGAAGCAAAGTGAAATAAAACAGGTTTCCTGCAGCAATGCGAGATGGAGGTCTCATATAAGCAGGCAATAAAAATACGCTGTAGCATAGACAGCTATCTCTCTCTGCGTTGGAGATTATGACAGGGCATGCAGGCTTGTGAATGTGCTTTTGCATCTGTGTGTGTGTTTTACAGGTTGTAAAGAAATAAGTGTGTTGCTCATTAATGACAGATGTGTGCAGCGTACTATGAATCTCCTCCCCTGAGACTATCTCAGCTTCTCCGTTGTTATTTAGTGTGTTTGTTCTTACACCTCAAAGATAAAGAGAGCTCTTCAATATCCTCTGACAGAGTTAGGTATGTTTACAGTTGATATGCGTCACTGTTCATTCATTCTTATAGATGGTTCTGGAGATTATAGTGTTACTGCAAGCAGAGGAGTGAAAAACTGCCATGGTGCCTCAGTCTCTAGCTGATTTAACGCTGATAAACCAGCATGTAAACAGCAGCACAATGTACGATCGGGTCAGAAACTAGTTGATGTTCACATCAGACACCAGCTGCGGCTCAAACATAACCCATTAGGGTCCCTAATGGAGACATGGCTACTCTTGTTTTATGATGTTAGCAGCCACATGCTAATGACTTGTACATAACGCAGGGCTTTGATCTGTACACTCTGCACTCAGTCTTAATTAACTTGGGATTTGAAATCATTTTTAGTCCATTTACCATGGTGATGGCATGTGGTCTCCACATATGGTTAAAAACCCACTATGCCTTTGATCTCGTTATTGGCTTTGTCTTTCTACTTGGTTTTGTTCATTATAAAAAAAAGTATTTTATCTTTCTTCAACCCACATCCAGCACAGCCTGTGTGACGGAGAGGGTCATCAGCCCAGAGTCTGCTGCCTGATGTGGGCTCGTCTCTCACTTCATTTTTACTAAAAGCTCTCCTCTCTCTCTTTTACCTCCTCCATCCTTGTTTTTCTATTTTCTTCTGTCTGTCGAATGAGACTGGCTGTGTGCTGTTAGCCTAGTGTGAAACGACAAAATGCTTGGAGTCAATGAGCTGCTGTGATCTTTTGTCACCTTGGACACCTGCCAGCTGTGCCTGGCCGCCACGGCGATAATGTCACTTTGGAGATTGATTTGGGAGAAGATGGGGTCGACGCTCTGAGAGAATAGTCCTCATTAAGAGCAGCTCACACCGCGGAAAACTCAACTTTTACTTTGTGGCTTTTTCCATTTTTTTGTCTCTGTGTTTTCCTCCAACTCATTATTTCTCTGCCGGCTTCATTTAGTTGAATGTAAGAATTTACCAGCTGGAAAACGAAAAGAACAGCTTGATGTTTTGCTGCATCAACTTTCAAATTCAGCTCAATATCAGCACTGATGCTTGCTCTGCGTGTTATTTATTTTTGCACTTTGGGAGATGAAGGTTTTCCTTGTCCTCTCTCTGTAGGCCCAGACGCCACCAAGGATCCCTGTCTGAAGGTGCAATGTCCTCCTCACAAGGTTTGTGTCAGCCGTGACTACCAGACAGCCATCTGCACCAATCACAAGCAGCCAGCTCACAGGTAAGCACCAGAAATACGACATTTATTCCTCAGCATCTTATCTACAAAAAGAAAACAACAAAACTGTCGAGTTGTGGTTGTTTTAATGCAAAATTCTCTTCCCCTCAAATATGAAATTAATGTTAAGTTAGGGTAAATGCCTGTTATCCAAAATTACTATGCAAAATTTAACTTCAATACCCTAAAGACCCTCAGGGAAGGTTAGACAAATTATAGTATTGCAGCAGAAGCATGAATTGAAGAAGCATTGTGTGTGCCAGCAATGTGCAAGAATCTGTATTATAGTGACATACAAATACACTCTGAACACAAACTTATCGGGATAAAATCTATTTGCCCTTTGGACTCTGTCAGGACACAATTTATTTGTGTTTCCAACCTTGTCATGTTGCCGGTTCAAAGGTTTTTCAATTTTTCAGTTGAAGAATCATCTCCCCCAAAAGACATCTGAATGTGCTTTTGTCTCCGTCTTGAGGTTTAATTGATTTCCTCAAGTCATTAGCTCCTAAGACACTCTGTTGTAATGCTTTTCCTTGTGTTGCATTTATTAAGCCCTATTTGCTGCTTAATATGTCAAACAATTCACCTGAAATCCACGTTTCCCTGACAGCATCACTCATCAACTCTTTGGACCGCGATATTGTTTAGCTACGTGAGTTGAAGAAGCTGCAGTAATTCTCATAACGCAGATTCAGTGACCTCTCAGAGGACTAATTCAAATGTTGTCGCTCTCGAGATATTTGAAACCATATTGTGCAATGCAATTAATGTACGCTGTGGTGCAGCATGCATAGTTTATAGTTTATCAGGGAGATGAGTCAAGATCATTATTCACTACTGCTAACAAAATACTTTCTTGAAAATGCCCTGTACAGTCTTTGGTATCACTGCTGTTGTTTCCACAAGCAAATTAGTTTCTGTCTCCACTAGGCCGCTGTCAAGTGCAAAGCAAAGTTTCTTCTTCTTCTTGAAATTGATTTAGTTCTGCACAGACTTACCTTAAAGGTTGATGATAATGTTTGACTGCAGGGTTGGATGTCTACATTATCAGCAAGGTGTAATTCAGAACACTTTTTTAAATTATGGAGGCTCGCAGTGTTCATTTGTGAGCACCTCCATCCAGCTGTGTGGAGGCTGTAGCAACGTTAATTCAGAGCCTTTCCAGATTAGAGCAACATGGAATCTCAGTAGGCGGCTGAAGTACAGTAGTATAACAGGCAGAGAGAGATCGCTCTCGAGTTGTTTGAGGTTAATATGTCTAGAGATTGTCTTTCCTCTCCGCTCTCTGTAAATGTCCTAAACATTGAATATTCATCATGCATATAAAATATTTTTCTAGCCAAGCTAATCCCGCCTTTCAAATCACACTATTAACATTCGCACGCTCTCATGCTACACAGCATTTATGCAGAGCGGTTGATCGCAGAGGAAGACGAGCACTGGATTTGACTGGGAGGAAGATGAGTGGAAGCATCTCAGACAATGTTTATCAACCTACAAATTCCATTTTACCTCTGTCTTGCCTTATCTGCCAGCACGGTTTTGTTTATCGGTGCCTTGTGCATGTCTAATCTGCTGTGGCAATCACTGAGGCTCGGTCGATGAGTGTGACACTTCTAAAGAGGCAAGAAAGTGGTTGATGCTCTGCCTGGAATTTGAGTGTTGTAGTTTTACAGAATGTTGATGTCCCTGGAGAGATTAAATAACGAGCTGTTACTTAATGTGATTTCAAGCTTTTTGACTTGGGATTAGTAGTTAAGCTTTATGAGTTAAGGTGGAGGAAACTTCACCTTGACAATACTGTTAGTCCTGTCTTAGTTTGTTCTAAAATTAGTCTAAAGCAAATCAGACAGGTTTGCCCACAGAAACAGTGATTCATTAGAAAAAGCACTGAGCCTTGCCACAATAACAAGAATCTGAGCTCTGCTGCAGGTGTGCACTGTGCTGTGATTACATCATATCACAAAATGTATATATTGTTACATTATTAATTGTATTTCCATATGGAGAAAAATGTCCTTGCTTCTGTTGAATTGTTCAAGAAAAACAAATCTTGTCCCTCGCCTGCAGAATCCCATTCCCCCATGCAGAATCTGTTTATGGTGATAAGTTAGTTCTCAGCCTAGCTTCACGATACAGGTCCTGCAATTACTTATATCTGTTTTATATGTTATATGTTGAATACCAGCTCTATTTTGGGGCAATCTGCAGTCAGGTGTGAAGAGAAAACTAGGTGAATTACTCAACTCTTGTTTTGCCATTTCAGTTATAGGATAGAAAAATATATCTGATTATTTTTAATAAATCCATATTTACCTTTCAACATTTTCTGACCTGGATGACTGTTTGCATTTGCTTCATGTCTTTCATTAATCTGGTCCTCTAAATGGATAATTCAGCCAGCATATTCAGTATGTATGTATATCTAGAACTCCTCTGCGATATACCTGATTAGGGTTAAGCAAATTTAAATGTTATGTAAATACTACAGCAGGAAACGGGAAAGAATCTATTATTTTTTGTTCACGGTGTGCTTTTCCCCAACGCTCCTGTCACATATTCACATGGCATTGATTTTCTGCCTGTGACAGAGGTTATATGTGAATACAAAATGTTACTGCAAATCTCCACCTGTTCATTTCGGTAGTTGATGTTCACTTTGCACCAATTGTTGTTGTCACTCACATTTCTCGGCGACGACTCGTTCTGCCTCTAATTCCGTCACTGCTCAAAGGATCAGCAGGCTGTGGGTTGTTCAATGAGGGCACTTGGATAGAAAATTGCTGCGAAGTTAGGATCAAACATAATTACAGTGGTTATTGAAAGGGCCTCCATGGACCAATCAGGATTTGCTCAGCTGACCCTGAAAACCAGAAGCGCTTCTAAAACTTTCTTCTCAGTGTGAAACAGATTCAGCTGGGTTTCCATAATATTCCTGACTGAAAAGTTATTGCTGTGCCTTAAATTTCCCTGAGACATAGATTTATGCAAGTAATGTTTGATTATGCAAGATACTGCCACCTGGGAAGGGTTTGGCTTCTTATATGCTGGATGATATGGTTTGTTTATGTCTAAATCTCAATTCATGACTTAATGAAATTAATTGTTTCTTATTGTTCTCTTCCTCAGTGTGAAACCAAGAAAAGGCAGCGCAGGCCACAAGCGCAGGCTTGAAGCTGGTGCTCATGGGAAATGTAGGCTCTGCTCGGCCCTGCAATCAACTCCAGTGTGTGGATCTGATGGACACACCTACTCTTCCAAGGTGAGTCTCATCAATAATTAAATTTTTATGTATAATATAGACCATGCACAATATTAAATATAAATGCTACCCTCCCCCACATATTAATCTCATCATTTTCTCGTAGTATGTTAGTCAAATGACTGAGAACAGGGTCAGCTATCAGCCCACCAATCAGCAGCTTAAACTCACCAATGGAAATCCATCTCTACCATCCCCCCTGGCCCCTGTTCCATCTTTGCTCCCATCTCCATCAAATAACACAGAGCTCACAGTGGCAGGTTTGTCAAGGAAAGAAAGACAAGATTTAACATTTAGTAATTAGTCAAGGAATAAATAAACAGACTGCGGAGCTGAAGAGTGAAACTAGGTGGAAAAGAAAGACATAAAGAATTGAAGTGCTCTGCTTCTGTCCTTGATAAAGCAGACTATGGCATCCTATTGACACTCACATTCATATTATCTCATTGTTGTTGTGTTCAACCTTTTGGTTGCCAGGGGTGAGGAAGAATCCAATACACAGGAACCTCATACAAATGGACAATAGAAGGCGTCTCTTGAGTGTCTCTCAGAAGTGAATCAATGTGTTTGTGACAGGGATATTGGCAAAGTGGAGCAGCCTGTTGTCACTTGCTCTGTATTATTTATTAATTCCAGCGTTTCAGTCAGCGACATTACTTAAACATATAACAGTGTCTGAGGAGAAGGGGTCAATAAAAGCAAGGGGTCAATAAAAGCAAGATTTTTTAGAGGAAATCCATGTTTCAGCCTATTGCCAATGAAATGAAATCAGGGAACGTGTTAAAGTTTAGGCCCACAGGCAAAGTGGGTATGATGCAATTAAAATGCGATGAAAATAAAACTTCTCGTTATCTTGAATGAAAATTGATTTTTCCCAGTTTGAACATTGTTGGAGACATTTTGCATAATGTAAGTACACAAGTCAACATATGTCTAATTGTTTGTAGACATTTTAATAAAGAATAATAACATATTATTCTAAACCTTTGTCGTCGCATTGTTTTCAAGTTGAAAACGTTTAAACCTAAGGCCAAGGAGTATGCCACAAGCTGAGATTGGGTTTCTCCTCATTGGGTATGAGGAAGTCTGTAGAATAGAATTTCTTAATAACCTGCCCCTGTGAGCTGAGTCTGTGCTTAGAGGAGGAACAAAAGGAGGAGGAGAGCTGGGGGAGTCCCTCTGGTCTCTGTGGTACTTTAGTTGGAGGGGTTCAGTTAGATGGTGGAGTGATGGGTCCCTGTGGCACAACTTAAATTCTGCTCACCAGTGAGCTGTGGTCTCAAGATTATTCATGTTTTATTATTACATTACATGCCTCTCTCATCCCAACCGCACACACACTCACTCACACATACACACACACTCAATATCCTATTAAGAGGACAGTGCTCTTATCTCCTTAGAGGCTTCCACCCACTGAGTTAAAACACTGGATAGCAAACAACTTTCTCCAACTAAACCTCCAAATCCCATGTAATTGTCTTTGGTCCCACCTCCAGCACGGATGAGATCACGGCAAACCTTGGTGAACTAGCGCCATTTACTGAGTCCTCAGCAAGAAACCTTGGTGTGGTCTTTGAGTTCAAACCCCACATTAAGAAGGTTGTGCAATTGTGTTTTTATTATTTAAAGGTACAGTATGTAGAATGGTGTTTAGTTTGTCCACAATTTAGATGAAATAAACTTGTGAAAACAGTGAGAATCATTCTACATTAAATTTCTGCCAATAGTTCCCTTTCACCTAAATCTTACACACTGGACCTTTAAGAAACATAGCCAAGGTTAAATCTTTTATAACACATACAAACCTGGAAAAAAATCATTTACGCCCCTATTTCCTGTTGCCTACTGTAACATCCTTTATACTGGTCTTACTCAGAAATAAATCCACGGTTTACAGTTAGTTCAGAATGCTGCCATTTGACTTTTAACACACACAGTCCAAGTTGTCCAATGTTTTGGCATCCTTGCACTGGATGTCTGTTATTTTAATCATTTTAAAGCCAGACATTGGCTGGCCCCTCCCTATATTTCCGACCTTTTATCTCTCTTTGAGCCAGGACGCAGTCTGACATCCTCCAGTAAGCTTTGCTAGCCATTCCAAAATCTAGGCTGAAAACCAAAGGACATAGAGCCCTTTCTGTATGGGCCCCAACACTTTGGAACAATCTGCCAGAAGAGATTAGACAACAGCACAGACAACATATCTGTTACCTGCTTTATCTCTCTTCTTAAGACAGTCTATAAAAAAGCTTGACTTGTATTACCTCTATCTTCATATTTACTATTTATTGTTCTGTTGGAGACTTTCATACTGTTTGTTGTAAAGCACTTTGTTACTTGTTTTGAAAAGTGCTATACAAATAAAGTTATTATTATTATTACTATTGTTGTTATTATTAAGTCCATTACTTCCCTCCTCTCTTTATTAATAATGATTATCCTCTCTTCTTTCCCCTCCTCCTCCCCTTTTCTTTTTCAACTTATAGCCAGGTGTTAAAGGACTATTTAATCAAAACCACATTAACCCCTGCTGAGAGACAAACATAAAGATTCATGGGGCCTCTCACTGTGCTGACAGTGAGTGGGGGAGGTCATCCATTTCCTGTGCTTTCTCCTCTTTTCGCTCCCTCCGTGTGTGTTTCCCTCGCTCTATCTCTCTCTCCGTCTCCCTCCCCAGACATCTAATTCAATATGCCGTGAAGCGGACAGAGCACTGTTTCTTTGTCAACAATTTTCATTAAGCAACATTAGCAGTGTTATCAAAGAGGTGGTGTGGAGGATTTTGAATTATAACGTGGGAAATGAAAGTGCTGGCAGGATAAGGCTAAGCCTGTGTGTGATATGATGTGTGTATAGATTTGTAAATGCACTTTCCTGGTCTCACCTTGACAAAACCTGTCGTCATCATCTCGCAAACACAATTTACATAACTCATCTCGGGTTTCATTATTCCTCTTGGAACGATCTTGTAATTGGATTTTTTACCCCCAACTAGTCCAAACGATTTCTTACCCCTCACTCACCTGAAAAGAGATTTATACTGTTAAATTACTTTCTCAAGTAGCCCATCTTGTTTTGTGCATTGCATTAGGTCTGTAGGTTACTGCTGAATCCTGCTAGGCATCTCTGTTTCTAATTGTGTGTCTGCATGGCAGCCTAAAGCACACTTCTGCATGTTAGTGGTCTGCAGTTGATGTTTACATATTCTAAAATGTAATGTCATATGATTTAAACCAAAAATTAATGGATTCTTCCCTGACCCATACCACATCAATTCACCAAGGTTTGGGTAATCCATCGCGTAGTTTTAACTTGATCATCCTCACAAACAAACCAACCAACGAAAAAACAGACAGGTGAAAACAGAACCTCCTTGGTGATGAAGAATCTACCTGATTGGGTTGTAATATCATCTTTGTCTGCTTCAGTTAAGAATTCAAAGTTATCAGCCCTTGAGTCTGTAGAAAAAAATCTCCATTACCCATGTTTTTTTGTCTTTTTTTAGTGTAAGTTGGAGTTCCAGAGCTGCCTCTCTGGGAAGACAATCTCAGTAAAATGTGATGGGCTGTGTCCATGTTTGCCGGGTCAGGAGCTCATAAATCCAACACACAAGAGTGAGAAGGCTGGTGAGTACAACACTAAAGTTCTCAGTTCAGGTAAATTAACTTGGTAAATGTTTGTAATGTCTGCATTTTATAATTCAGGTCGAATAACTTTTACATACTTGGGGAATGGCATTTGTTGTTTTGATTGACAACCCCAGTCACTTCAAGTGCATCTCTGGTGAAAATCGAGTTTGTTTGCAATTTATATGATAAAAGACATTTTGAGGGAAACAAGCAATCAACACCATGGCCGAGGATTTCCACATGAACACTGCAATTAAACAAATGCAAGTCTGAAAAGAAATGGATTTAGACAGGCAGGGTCTGTGACATCACAAAGCTACGCTACCAATCCTGCCAACGTGTGGGTGGGGTTCAGTGGATAGAAGGTTCCTTTTCTCAGTGCAGGTGAGCTGGGAGGGTGGAGAGACGAGGAGCAGGGACGGGGTCATATTAGCATTAGCACAAACTGAGGTAGTCAAGTTACGTGTAAGCCATTTTACGGCCAAGGGGGAATTTTTTCATGTGAAATCATTTGAATTTGTAATTTTGAGTTTTAGGGAGTGTGATAACAAACTAGAGTGTGACTTTAATATATTAGCTTAAGTATGTGTGTTCTGTATGGATGGGTATTTACATGTAGATGCTTGGATGGATAGATGGATGGAGGGATGAATGCGTTGACATTTTTTTGCCTTATCCAACTTAAAGTTCAGGTGGATGCCTCGGAAATGGACCAGGACCCTCCACACACACACACGCAAAAACCCTTTCTCTGGTAGTCCCTCAAATTCTCTGGTGATTCACTGCATTTCGATTCATCTCCTGTCACCTCTCCCCTTACTCATGTTGTTTTCTTCCCTTCCCCCTCCCAGCCCCCAAACTATTCTCTGACAGCTACAGGCAGCGGTGATGGAGTGACTGTGTGTGTCTCATTGTTTGTCATGGAAATAGGATTTCAGCAGATGGATGGAGAGATTCTGGAGGAGAAATGCAATCTAAAAGGAAAGTAGCACAGAAAAGGATGGATTGTACATATTTAATGCAAAAGAAACATACAAATTAATGATGGCTCTCTCTTTATCTCACACTTTCCTTTATTAGTTTAAGGCCAAATGATGGAGAGAATAGAGAGCGTAATGAAGAAGTATTTACCAGCTTGACTGCTGTCTAATTGATCCCCTGCATCTCTTCTCAATAGAAACTATAATTATGTGTTTAGTCTGCAGAGCTTGGCTGTGGGAGTGAACATGTTGAATGAGAATATTTAAAGAGGAAAATCTATTTGAAGATCTTGGACAGTCTCAAAACAAGCAGTGTATGTCTTTTGAAAGCTTGTGGATACGGACGAAACTGAGCAGTACCACCAGATGTCCTGGGGGGGCAGCATAGCCAATAGCTCAAGTGAGACAACAATAGGACACAAGGAAGTCATTTCAAGAAGACAGACTTTGTGAATTGAAACTATAAGATGTTACTTCACTCAGACACAGGGATAAGGACTATCTACCAACGTAAAGGACACAGAGGTACATGGGCAGTGACGGTTACATCATTTGAAATGTATGCATATGTTATCGTACGTTAAGAAATCATAAATGAGCCTTTACACTTATTTCCACCGTCTGGCTCTCTGCTTTGAATATTGTCTCTTTTAACTTTCGATTTCTGGTTATTGTCCTCGTCTCCTTCTCTTAAACTTTTCAGCACAACTTCTCTGTGCATCTTGTCTTCAGACCATAACTGAGGTAGCGGCGTATTCAGATGTCGTAGGGATTAGCGAAGTGTGCATTTCCTCTCGATAGATCAGCAACACAAAATGGTAAACACTGTGTGTCAGATCGTGCTCCTATGGTAACAATCAAAAGATTTGCAGCAGTTCAGTGCATGCAATCACTCCTGCATGTTTACTGATAGCCGGGCTGGGTTTGAACATTTGTATTACACTGATATAAATATATCTGCTCAAACAACACCTGCGTCTGCAACTGTGCCAATAGCATCACCTTTCCTGTGTTGTGTTTCCACACCTCGGTCGTGGTTTGAGGTGCTGGTGCTCTCACGTCACAGGCTCAGACTTTGGAGATGAAAAGACGGCTGGTGTGGACAATACTGTATGTAAATGCATCTGGATGTAGAGGTGGATATAAATAACCGAGGCAAGATGCAGAAATATCCAGTGAAATGTTGTGTGTGTGTTTGTCTGTGTCCCATCTGTGCGGAGCAGGTCATGGTGATCAGGAGAATCTTGACAGGTGCAAAACTGAGCTCATTAAAGTGGTAATGAGCTTGACTGTTTAAATCAAGCATAAGTAATCATATAGAGGAAGTTCTGCAAGACATCCACATATATACAATACCACACTGACATATACTCGCAGCAATGTTAATGACTTTACTATTTTAATCAGGTGAGGGCCCTGAGCTCTTTAAGTAAGTTAACTCATATATAAAGTTGACTTTTATGAAAAAGAATAATTAAAGTAATGTTGGCCTGTTTCTTTTTTCCTTTATGAACTCCTGTGAACTGTGACACCCACCCCCTAATACTAAGTTAGGTTCACTTCATCTTTACCAAATAAGCACAGTGTAATCCACCAATTAGCATACTGTAATAGGATTGATTTATCCCACAAACAATGACCTCCTACACTTATGTACTTATGTAGGAAATACCCAAGTAACTCTTGGGAAATAATCTTTTTTACCTACTTTACTTAGCTATTGAAACTCTACTCCTCCAAAATACCGGTGTTTGACTGAACAGTCACTGGAAAACAATTTGACGTTGTTAAGAGCTTGAAAAATAATTTAGGAAGAAGAAGAAAAGACAGAATAGTTGTAAAGGTATCAAGCACCACAAAGAGCAGCCATTTCTCTTTCACTCACTCCCTCGATTTTGATTGATAACTGCAGATAAGGAGTGTGTGCTGCAGTGTAGGGGTGCAGAGCGAATATTGTTACTTTATCTTACAAGGCAGAGTAGAAGGCTTCAAATGCACTTTTTGAGCCTTTGCCTTGACCACACCATTAACCTTTATTCTTCTCTGAGTGCTGTGCGTCTGTGTGTGTATGTCAGTCACATTTCTTCTTCCACAGTGAAACTCTCCCATCTGTCTGCTGCTCATTTATTTTATGTCTCGAGTCCGATCCAACATTCTGCAGAGTTAAACATTCACCTCCACTTTTTGTCTCCTTACTTTCATTTCATCCATCATGCAGAGGACTGAGAAAATCAGACATCCTTGCATATCACAAATAGATTTGGACATTTTTACTTTTCTTTTGGCATTGGGTCAAGTTAGTGTCTGTTTGGCACAAATGCCTCGCACACATTACAGAAACTGTCTGGAGCTGAAAAATTTGAAATAAAAATGTCTAGGCCACAGTAACAGGTTGTTTAAAAAAAAATTCTAAGTAAGTATCTAAATGAACAGCTAAACCTTATGTGCAGATATTTGTCTACAAAACGTAATACTTTCACCTGAAGCAGCACTGTCATGAAATTGAACTTCATCACTCTCATTTAAAATAATGTTTACTTTTACATGGTCACCAATATTCTGACAATTGACCTTATTCTGAATAAGACATTATTTAGATTATGGCGTTTACATTAGTTGCTCATAGAATATTCCATTCATATTCCAATTTACATGTTACAGAGTTTGATCTATACCATTTGTATGTGTTTTATGTCTGATGTTACAAAAGCTCCAACTCGGTTTTACTAATGTCAGAATAATCCATGTCTTATGATCATTATTGATTGTTTAGAGTATATCCTTATTCAGGTATAGGTCATCAGAAAATGCTCTTTATATAGCAGTATCCAATTTGGATTATTGGCTCAAATGGGTTAATATATGAATATTAGTGTTCATGTAAACAGTCAGGTTTCAAGCTGATCTTGCTCGTGATAAAGGCATAAATCATTTGAGTGGTTATGGTCATTTATTTTAATGATAGTTAATTTCTCTCTCCGCTGCTGATGAATAAAGACATTGGCAAAACAAAAAGAGCCTTTCATGGATGGGTGGTGTAAATCATATAGCTTAATTGAATTTTCCTGGTGATTTTGTCTCACAGCTCCACAGAGAGCACGCAGGAGGACAGATTGTGTTCTCTCTCTTCTGCCTCCACACTTCCAATCCTCTCCAACCACATGCCAATAGCATGGGGGGGGTTTATCCCAGAGTGTTGTGTGTAGAGTGCCTGCAGAACATTTTATAGTAGATCCTATTCAGACTGTCCACACCAGAAGAAAAAAAAAGCTGCATCGGCCATTTGTTCCAACACTGAAGACAAATTATGTTTACGGTTTTCTGACAAGCTACTCGTGTGACTAGGATCCTGTTATCGTGCAGCAAAGTCTCATGGGAAGGATCTTAAGTGGATATACACAACCAGTCAAAGGTTTTATCGCAGCACTGTTTTTCCTGCTTTTATTGACATTCAAGTTGTTAAAGTTTAGTGAATAACCTTAAATTGTACAAAGGTCCACTATAAACACCTAGAATTAGATGACCAAACATGAAAACATGTACATTTCATAGAAAACAGGTTTTCTTTCCTGGATCAAGATATTGGTCAACTTGCCGCTTTTCAGCAGCGATAAGAAGCAAATTTTATTCATGTGGTGGGATTTGCTGTCCTCAGAGGACTGCAAGAGTGGGGTAAACCTGAAGCAAATGATTTAGAAAATACTTACCTCCACCAAGGCTAAACAGTCTCCTTAAATTCCACACCAAATACACCATGTGTGCTCATAGATATTGGTCCCCTAAATGTGTTTTTTCTGTCAAGATCAGTGAATTAAAAATGATGATAACCCAGAACAGACTCTGTCTTGGCCCATGGTCCATCCTTCCATCACGATTCATAGAAATCTGTTGAGTAGTTTCTGTGTAATCCTGCTGACAAACAAACCATCAAACAGAAAACATTAAAAAAATATAGAATGTCTCTCTGTAGAGTGCATACCTCTGCCAAGGTCCAAGAGTCCCTTTATGAAAACATTT